CGCAGAGCAGGCTACCCTGGGTGGGAGTAAGCGGGACTCAGCCCCATGTGGAATGCCGTAGGGGCAGCCAAGGATCAGATGGGGGGTGCACAACATGCCTGCAATGCACTACCCAGGAAAGCTCTGCAGCATGCACCCCCTGCCTCAGCTTCCTTCCCCCACCCCAGCCAGCTCCTGGGACCTAGTGTGCAGGCAGCCCTGCGCGCGCACACACACACACACACACACATGTACACTCATGTCACCAGACACAACCCCCACACACGCCCCTGAACCCCTCAAACATACCTCTGCGTCCTCCCCCACATATAATATACAAGAGTAAGACTATTTTGAGCTATTATGCAGTTGCCTCTAGATACACTGCTCAAGAAACATAAAATCAGGACAAAAATTATTTTTTGAAATAAAATGTAAATATTTAACATAATAGGAAGTAGATGTTTGATTTTAGTATATGATTTGTTTTTTATCTATAATTTGTTAACATTATATCTTCTGAAAGATTTTGTGTGCAGCTCTCGACAGGTCACCTAAACTTAAGTGACCCTCCAGCCAAAATAACTGCCCACCCCTGGGTTAGGTGGAGATTAATTAATATTCTTTTTCATCAATGTGAATCAAGTTTAGCAAACTGTGCAGTACCAGGGAAATAAGCAGAACACTTCTTGCCTGCCCATTAAAACTATTTTAATAGGAAGAGGGGATATAATTGCAATTCTTCAGCTGGGGTAGTATTGTTAATAATGTATAACGCTTTGCTACTCATGCTGTACTTTTTGTCTCTCAACTAGTTAAGCTACATGCATTCTTAATTACATCAACATCATCTCTAATTAAGAGAAAAGCAAATTCTGATAGAATTGTAAGATATATAAAATTGTACATATGCTTGACTTCTTACTCTAATTTTAACTGTCAGAAGCACTGTGCCTAGCATTAAAAAAAATGACATTGTACTACACATTTTGCACTTGTAATCTGCTATGAAAATTAAATTTTACCCTGTTTTTATGCAGTACCAATGAAGGTGTTTTATGGTCCTCAGTACCTTAATTTTGATGTACTTTAATTGGTTCACAATCTTTAATGTACTTATTTATCCTCACAACTGTGAAGTAGGAAATCATCATCATCCTAGTGTTGTAGACAGGGGACTGATGGGCAGAGAAGGGTCAGATTTACAAAGATGGGTAAATGCCTAGAGTTGCAGAAACTACGTTTGATGTCTCATTTGACTATCTCACTGGTTATCCATCTCCATTTTCAGGCACCAAAATAACTTGATAAATCTGATTGCAAAAAACATCTGTGGTTAGAGGTGCACCAATACATCAGTCCAATATTGGATCAGCACCAATGTAAAGAAAATTGATTGTATCGGAAATCGGCCGAATGTGGCTGATAATTTGGCCGATAAATGCCCGTGCGTGTGCGCCGCTGCAGTGCAGCACCCAGGCAGCAAGGAACACAGCCGTGGTGGAAGGGGAGTGGGGAGGGAAGGGGAGCAGATCAATGCCCCATGCAGTGAGGGAGGGAATGGGGCAGGGGCTGGGACAGGTGCTGCCTAGCCAGGGCAGGACAAGGCATAGGACAGAGACACAGGTCATCTAGGAGGCTTGGGGCGGTGAGGGCAGCTCCTGCCACTGCATGGACCCCAGGAGGGCACGGGGAGGCAAGGGGGCATGTGCCCTGGGATCTGTGTGGGGTGCAGGTAGGGTGGGCTGCAACTGTGGGCTTGGGCAAGGGCTGCGCCAGGATCTTCCCAGTGTGTGGGGGGGGTGGGGCTGGGCTGGGGCTGTGCTTGGGGCAGGTAGTAGCGGTGCTTGGGAGAGGAGGTTACGGGGGGCCTACAGCAAAATATGGTGTAGCTGCAGCCTGCCCTGTAGCCCGCCTCCCAGCACTGCCACCACTTGCCCCAAGCACAGCTCATCCTAGCCCTTGCCAGGAAGAGCCCGACGCAATGCCAGCGCCAGCTCCAGCCTGCAGCTCCAGCCCGCAGCTCCAGCCCGCTCTGCGCAGATTTGGGGGGCACATGCCCCCTTCCCCCACCCCATGCCCTCCCGGGCTGGGCAGCACCTACCCCAGCCCCTGGCCCAGCCCCATAGGCCTTGATCTGCCCCTCCCCACTCATGCCCTTTCCTTTCCACCACAACAGACTTACTAGTTGCATGCAGCTGTATCAGAAATCAGATCGGTATAGGCCAATATGCCTCCTTAAAAACTGGCTATCGGTATTGGTGCACCCCTATTCGTAGTAGAGCAGGGAACTGAATCCAGGTCTCCCTGGCCTATCCTTACTCACTGCTATCAGTTCATGCAATTAAGCTCTTTAAGATAATAGTTAAGGTGTTACATCTTCCATGACTATATCCTTGAATAGATGCTGTTTAAACAATCACTTGCAATCATGTAACTGATTAGATAGACATATTACATAATGGTGCCAATTTTATTCCCACCATCTTTGTCCACTTAAGGAGTCTGTGGGACAGTAAACATTTCCAAATGCATCTTTGATTACTTCAAAAACAAATACTTTTTGGAAAGCAAAAGTAATTTTCTGTGATTGTGACGTGTACAAGAAAATGTAGCAAAACAGAATTATAAATCTTGTAATCTAGTGCAGCTAGACCCCCTTGTATGGAAAAGAAGAGAACAGTTAGATGCTAGAAAAAGAATTCTTCATGTCTATGTTGGATACATGAGAATAAATGCAAGACAAAACTATACATGTATGAAGCTGCAGGCTGAGAAGCAACATGTATTTGACTATTGATCAACTATATGAAGATAAGGGAAAAGCTGAAGCCACTTAATTTCTGGCAATTTTTTCAAGAGAAAAATAATTTTTATTGAAGATATTCTATAAACTCTTAGGGCACCTATACATATGCAACGAGACTACTCCGACATGCTTAATCGAGTCTGCTAGAGCATGGTAATTACCGCATCAAATGTATTAGCGTCCCCATGCTAAAAAATGGTGGTGGGGGCAATTTAACTAAAGCTCATTTGACGATACACATGATGCTCTTGGAGCTGCTCTAATTAAAGTGCCCCCTTCACTCCCTGACCACATGTATAAACTCCCTTATAGTTTATCTGATCATTTCCAATCTCACACAACTGTACAACTTGATATAACATCTTCAATATACCTCAGACAGGCAAACCCATAAGAGGGAAATACTGTCTTCACAAAGCAATTCAAAATACAGAACCAAATCCTTGTAACTACTAGCAGGTAAAGCCAGAAAACCCGATAGAACTGTTGCTGTTCTACTGTGCACAAAAACAGTCAAAAGCACAGTAAAACCACTTTATAACAGCACTCCCTGCAAAAGCATAAAAAGGGTGCCTGGCATGAGCAAGGACAGGGATGACAAGATAGCAACTATGGAATGTCACTGACCAAAGCTCCCAGCATACAGACAGGTTGCTACCTTGGACCCCGACAGAGATCCATGGTGCATGGGCCACTTACTCAAGAGTTTGATAAGGCTTGCAAGATTTGGCTCTTAATTAAAATTCAATCTGATCAGATGAAAACCACCAAAAACAAGGTATACCTGGCCACAATAACACTAAAAGCCAATAAGTCTCTAGATGTGTAGCTACTAGATTCTCATTCAATAGGACAAATTCTGTTCACTGATGCACACATGCATCTCCTATTGAAGGCAGTAAGAATAAAGTGATACTTCCTTTTCAAGTGTATTTTTTGCTGAGAAAGTTTAGCAATTGCAAATACATAATAAATTTAACAGGGCTTAAATTGTAGCAATTACACAAACAAAATTTGTATTGACCTCATATACATTTAAAGCTGTGAAAAGCACTGCAAATGAATAAAAATAGCATTTCTCAAAGATGCCACCAAAGTAGCTGGGGCAGCACATCAAATGACATTGGTAAAATACTCTGTGTTATTCTGATGGGGTTTAACACGTACCTGAATACAACAGGAGGCCGACCATTTTTGTGTTTCACAAAGACACCATCAAGACAAGCTCCAACGAATATGTCGCTTCCCTGGCTGTCCTGCAAGTAGTAGCCAGAAATATAGCAAGTACAAGAAAAAAATCTCTTCGGATGCCTGTCCATGTGCGGGGACACTGCTCTAATGCACTGTAATTACAGCACATCGCAGCAGACTCAATTAATCAAGTCTAATTAGTGTGTTCCAGTAGCCCCTGTGTCTCATGTATTCAGCGTCCCCATTCAGCTTTAGTTAAAGCACCCCTGCTGCCATTTTGAAGCGCAGGATGCTGAATACACAAGAAGCTGCAGGCGCTTTAATTTGAGTGGTTCTCAGAGCCGCTGTAATTAAAGTGCACCCCCACCCCAAACCATGTTTCAGGGGTGTAGATTGTAGTCGTGCTGATCTAAGGACATAGGCAGACAAGGTTCTTTGGGCAAATCTGATACCTTTTATTAGACCAACTCAAATAGTTGGAAAAATTCTTCTTTGCAAGTTTTCAGATACCAGGTACCCTTCGTCAGGCTGAGGAAGCATCTGCAATTGGTCTGTGCTCTTCCTGGTTGGAATAGTAAAGCAGCCAGAGGCCAGAACGTATGCAAGAAAGCCAGCCAGTGAAAATGTAAATTGGGGTAGTCAATGGATGAGAGACAGGTTGGGGGTGGGAGGGAAGGGGAATGAATGTTTCTTTCTTGCATATGTACTGGCCTCTGGCTGCTTTACTGTTCCATCCAGGAAGAGCACAGACCAACTGCAGATGCTTCCTCAGCCTGATGAAGGGTACCTGTACCTGAAGCCTTGCGAAGAAAAATTTTTCCAACTATTTGAGTTGGTCTAATAAAAGATATTGGAGGATTTACCCAAAGAATCTTGTCTGCACCCCTACCCACAGAACACGTGTAAGGACACCCTTTGTGAACAAAAGTTACAGAAGCATTAATTATCAACTTGTGCGAGTTCACTGAAATATTCTTACAAAGGCAATGCAAGGAGGTATCTAGATTTAAATCTTTAGTTTAAGATATAACAATCTTTCCTCAACATAATGCACACCTACTGGACCCCATGATACAGCCATTCTATACCTGAATAGTCTCAGTGAAGTCAGTGGGATGGTACAAGTGACTACAAAGTACTAGGCCCAAAAATTTATTTTATATTGCAGTTACCTTTTTCAATGCAAAAAAAACATTAGGAAACAAAAAACATTACAATGATTACCCTTAAGTTAAGGCAGAGTATCAAAGCCACCCTTACCTTTGCAGGGTAGCTCTCTTCACCATAGCCCTCCATTCTCTCCACCTCTTGCATATACAACATTTCTGCATCAGGAGGTGTAAGGCCTCTACAAATAAACACAATGGTTCATTTTAATTCAATGATTTAATTTAAATTTAATGACCCTGTATGTATTCCTCTCAACTACACTCTCAAAGCTGGAAAATCCTGAAGAAAAGCATCCAATAATTGTGAAGTCTTGCTGCTTTATGTGCACCCCATGAGTAGCCCCAAAAAATCCCATCACCTTTGGTCAACCTAGCCAACTTGACCATCTCTCCACCCTACCAAGAAGGAGGTGCTGACTAGAAGGAGCCCAGGTGACTGGGGGGTCTCTGGAGCCCCCTTGTCTGTGCACATCTCTGAGTGGAGTTTCACCCACAAGCTCCTTAGATATGTTCAGGGGGTAGAGGATGCTATTTGGAGTTCTCTTCTCAGTGACATGCCTTGGCACCCTACTTATTAGCCTATCACCTGTACTGCTGGTCCTCTTTTCTCAATTGGTCCTGAAGAATTAGTTGTTGTACATTTAGTGGCCTCCTTCCAGCCACTGAGGGAGGGCTGTAGTTCCTGGTGGGCCCAAACCCACCAACGAATAACACTCTTGACTCGTTTAACATGTTTCTCTCAAGCTTCCCAGCTCTCAATTCCCAATTCTCTCTCATTTCTCTCCACTCCATTCATATACACCACTTAAATTTACCTTCTACCCTGATTCAAACCATTGTCACATCCTTCCTGAAATCCCTCTTTCCCCCCCCATTACTCACCTTCTCAAAATTAAAAATTTGAGTACTTCCATTCAAGGAGCTTCATAATTTTGTCAGCCAGCATTTCAAATATCTCTAGCACCAACACTGTGCTAGGGGTTGCACAATTTGAAAAATAACACACACTTAGTTTTTATAATGTTCTTTCTCTTTTTCTCCAATAATATCAATCTCCTCCACTTCTTTCCCCACTCCCATCTTCACTCCTCTTCCTCTACCAAACTTTATGCACAGAACAATCTCCCAGTCCAGCTATGTCACTTCAAAATCCTCTCATTAAACCCTCCTAAAGAGTTACTGTTTGCGCTACCTCAGAACACCCACAAAACCATATCACACTCTTCCTTCACCACAGCATTAGAGAAGAAATGAGCAAGATCAAATATTACAGGAGAAATGAGCAAGATCAAAAAATTAAAATAAACCCAATAAAGAAAATACATCTAAACCTTTCCTCTGAGGTTTCCAATGCATTATGTTTTATCTGAGTTTGTTACTAATTTGTTCAGTCCTGAGAATATTTCATACATAACAGGTGCACCTACACCTGCGCAGTGAACTAATCTATGCAAACTAATCTATGTGAACTAATTGCAGTGAACTAATCTATTGTGCAGTAAGTCATCACCATGTAACTGTGAGCAGCTGTATGCAGCAACTGCTGCAGTTACATCACCATGTAACTGCAGCAGCTATTGCACTGTTAATTAGGCTAATTGTTAATTGGAGCTCTCCCTGGATGCTGCAGCAGGGCAGAGCAAGGCAGGGAGGCCAAAGCATCCTTGGTCTCAACTGCTCCCACTGGGAGCAAATTTGCTCCCAAACAGAGGCATGTGTAGACCCCTTCCCAGGTACAGTTTACTGCACCTTATTTTAATGCACAGTTACCTTACTGTGTATTAATAGCACCCGCTAAATATTACTGCTCTAACTGTGGTCACTACTTCCTTCCATAACCTGAGATATTAAGTTAAATTAATGGTTTAATAAGCATTATACAAATGGAGACACCATTTTATTTTTGTCCCCCATAAGCAGCATGAAGTACAGTGGTTTCAAAAGGTTTGCAATCAAGGTAGACTCCTAGAGATGTGCTGGCATTCTTTGTTTTCTGGTAAATCTGTGCTTGTGGCAGGTCATGAATCTTATGGAAGCTTGCAGCATAGAACAGAAATATCAGCACTCTCATGCTGTCTAACTCTGACTCACCTGTGACATGGAAGAACGAACTCTCTGTGAGACAGCACACTATCCATTCCTATTTACATATTCCCAGTTAATCATACCTAGATTCTAGTGACCTGGAGACCTGTAGTCTGGATGTGAGGCTGAGATGACACAAAAGGTAGTAATTTCAGTCCCAGTGAGCCAGAATGACCTTCAACCATAGTCACAGTGTAACATATACACTGTACTCATTACCTATATATCTAACCTAATTCAGTATTATCTACATCCTTATGCTTCAAATCTATCTCCTATGTATGCCCTTCCCTTTCTTTATGAGCACATTGATCTTGGTGTTCCTTTTCTTTATGCCTTTTTCACTCCGTTTTTTACCGTCTTGAGCTTTTGAGTTTTCTTAATGTCACATAGCTGAAGTGCTTCAAAATCTCAATATTTTATTACTCTTACCTGTACTTTTGATGCAACAAGGCCACTTTCTGTGTTGCTTCTTCCAGTATGTTTTCCTCTTGTAGCCAACCCTTAAGGTAAATACATTTTGCTTTAATGCAGTATTAGTGGATTTTTAAAGGATAAAATAATTGGTTTATTCCCTAAATAGGACCATGACTTCCACCAGAGCCTGCAGTTAGCTTACTATCAATCAACTACTATGAAAAAATATACCAAAAGTAGCTCCTTTTTCTGAGTCTTTCCCTCCATCTAATGTTTACCATAGATAAATATATGTTTTGCAATCCCTAGTGTTTATTGTGCACGTCAAAGCAGTATGTCCAAATCAAGTCTCTGATAAACACTTTAATTACATCTGCAAATGCAGAGAATCTGTGATTTGTGCTTTGATTAATTTGGGAGCACTAAACTATAGAGAGAACAAAAGGCTGCATTAAAATGCCTCTCAGATCAAGCACTGATATTTGTTGGTATAGTGTTTGCACATTTTTGCGCCTAATGAAGGGGCTCTCCAAATCATTTGCTTTCCTTCAACAGATTCTGAAAAGAAGTACTTACCACAGGAAACAAGGCAAATCTTTGTAGAAACTCCTGAGATTCATATTGATCATAGTCTCCAAAGTCAGCTAAAAAATGAAAGAGAACAGATAGGATTCAAGTATAGTATTAACTGGAATGAACAGACTAACCTGATTATAAGATGCCCCCCCAATTATCAGATTCTATATATGGAAAATTTATAAATTTGTTACAAATTTTCCAGGCATAGAATCCAATTACTGGATGTCTGCTTTGAATTTGTCCCCTTCTCACTGCTATAGCAGGGAAAAGAAATCTAGGGAATCAGATAGCTCTTTGCTTTTTGCCCCCCTGCTAATTTTTCCCCCGACAGCCCCTTCCCCCTCCCTCAGACCCTGCTTTCCCTGAGCACATGGAAGTCAGGAGAAAATTTGAAAACAGTAACTTTGAAATTAAACATGACTGTAGCAATTTGCATACAGTACCCACAGACTTAGTTCATCCAGGATGATGCATGTTACCTTTTTTTTGGGAAACAGCTGCAGGTTTTAGCACGATTGTTTCGTAAACACACTTTTGAGCATAAATATATATATAGATATATAGATATAGATATAGATATGTTTTGTTTCAAGGGCCAAATCAGTTCCAGATCCCATTGGGCAAAACCCAATAGTCAAGTTCCAAAACTATTGACTGAGCAGAGCTCAATCATCAAGTCTGGGTGGCTCTACCACTGGGCAAGCAGTCTCCCCTCCCCCCGACCCATCAGTCTAGGGCTCCAGATATTCCCCAAATCCACAGCAGCATCCTACAGGCAGGTGCTAGGCCCAGAAGCCTTGGGGTTCAGATGCCCCCAGTCTTGTTTGCTCCTAGCCAAAAGGCTGAGCAGCAAGACAAAGGGAAAGCACATGCACCATGCCCCCACTGCATGTGTGCATAGGAGGACAAGTACACAGTGCAGTTATTGTAAAGGGAATGAGAATGCTGCAACTGTAAACATGTGGTTTGAGCTACTGAATGAGCCATATTGGTTTTGAGACAGATTCGTAGAGGGGGGTATGTCTGTATACACATACACCTACACACCTTTATATAAGTTATATGTGTATATACACACCTGAGGGGGGGGTTATTTATATATTTACATACACACACACACACATATATACATACATATGCACACACACACCAGCCTTTATATATTTTATATCAGCATTTTCTTGACCTCTTGGGCTAAAATCAAGTGATCAGCTGAAAGCCTGATCAATACCTTAAGGGCAGAGGAGTGTGTCAGGGTATAAGGAGTGGAGAAGGGAAATCCAAAGCTCAAAATAATGGCAGTAGTGGCAAGTAACCAGGAAGTGGAAAGTAGAATGAAGAGCAGAAAACAAAGTCTAGAGACATATGGAGAGTGGACAAAGGTGGAGAAGCAGAGAAAAAAAGTGAAGATGATAATAGGAGCAACAGCAGAAGTAGCAGCAACAACAGAGGCAGTGGCAAAGAAGGTGATGGGGAGATGAACAAGGCCAGATGGAAGACAGGAGCAGAGGAGAATGTGAGATAGAGTGGGAACAGCAGGAAAAGATATGTCAGATGAGAGGTAGAAAACAACAGGAACATGACAGAATACCAGCCCACTGGGAGTGGCACAGCAGGAAGACACAGAAGATGTACCAAGAGATGTCAGGGAAGATTGGAGACTGTGGATAAAAGCAATATCAACCCGTGATGGGATGTAGACAGGATCAATGACGGACAGATATGAGTTAATAGAAATGGTACTGTTTGAGATACTGGAAGTGCACTTGGAACATCTCACCAGCCTGATTGCTTTCCAAAACAGGCAGACTTGGGAGCTAACTTACTGAAACAATGAGAAGTATGAATATTTTTGGAAGAAACATGCAGAGGAATGTGGGAGGGAGGAATTAAGAAGGATAAAGTTTATAACAGGGGAAAAGTCAAGGGAACAAGTGATTACAGTAAGAATGTAAATGGATTTATTAGAGGCAGAAGACAGAAAGATGGATGGAATTGTATGTGCAAAGAATAATGTGTGTAGAGAAGACATGGGACAAATATAGTATTTGGATGTGGTCTTGGAGGGCACAAGTTGTGTAGAGAGCAAATGAGTGGAGCCCAGGTGGGGTTCAGCACCTCCCGTCTGCAATCCAGCTGCAGCCCCACTGGGGTTTTCTAATATACCATGGGCAACCAAAGTAATGCAGCAAGGATGGCCACCTGAAGGGCACCTGCACACTGCTCCCCCATGGTGTGCTACAGATGTGAAGGTAAGGAGCAGAGAGCTGCAGAGTGCCAGGAGTCCCTAAAATGCACGAGCTGTGGGGCGGAGGGACACCTATTCCACAGGTGTCTCAAGCCTCTATACAAGCAAGGTCAGACCCTCTGAGGAACAGCATGAATCAGAAAGGGACAGTGGGGGAGAAGAGAAGGGTGAGAGTGAAGTAGAAATGGTGAAGGAGATCCCATAGGAGGGAGGAGAGGAGAAGGAGGAGTGCGTGATATCTGTAACTGAGGCAGCTCAAGAAAAAACAGAAGAAAAGGAAGGGGAGTGGGAAAGAGCCCAGACAGGGGTGTGGAGGGGAGGAAGGTGGAGAAAGAAATCAAACAAGCAGAAGAAATGGAGGTAGAACAAATAAAAGAGCCTAGGAGTCAGGGAAGAAAAGGAAAGGAAGAAAACACAAGGGAAGAAAATCAGGAAAAAGAAACCTTAAAATGGGGGGAATGAAACAGAGAGCCAGAGAGCCACTTCCCACAGTTAATTTCTCCGGGCTCCAGCCCGGGGGGGGGGGGGGGGGGGGGCTGGAGGCAGGAAGCGGCAGGGAGGTGGGGAAACAGCAACTTTCCTGAAAGCAAACGCAGTCAAGCAGCTTGCAAAAGTGACAGGCATGAAGGTGGCGGGGGGAAGGGGGGGAAAAGGGGGGGGGGGGGGGTGGGAGGGAGGAGTCAATCATGCTGAGCAGCAGTGCTGGGAAACCTTAAAAGGGACAGGCGCACTCTTTTTAAAACAAGCACAACAGCACTGATTATAGAATCTATTAATGTCTGGAGCATACTAACAAGGAAGAGACAGCAACAGGTTGAACTAATGTTAAAAAAGTAAGGAAAGATATAATATGCCTACAAGAATGTGGGATACCAAGGGAAAGGGAGTATAAGTGCTTTGAGAAAAGGTGGAGATTGGGACCATCCTGGTGGTGAGGGACAAAAGAAAACAAAGTGGCTGGAGTGGCAATACGAGTCAAGAATCCAAAGGTGAAAGCAAAGCAGATGGAAGACATCATCAGTGGCAGACTGCAGCAAATGACACTATCAGTCAGAGGAGCAGAATTAGAAGTTTTCAACATATATGCAACACCAGAGTTTGGAGTGGGGCGGGGAGGAGGAAGGGTGTGTTTAAAAAGCTAGCAGTTTATGTGGTAGGAGGGAGACTGAGCATAATAGTGGGGAACTTCAATTGCATAATAGAAGCAGGTGACAGAACAGGGGAAGGGAGAGACAGAACTTTAGAGAGTTCATCCAGATTGTTAGCAAATATAATAAAAGCAGAGGTTGCTTGTACACACCATGGGGTTTTAATTCGGTTTAGTTCTCTCTAAATTGAACTGGTGGTTTTTTAAAAACAGTTTCAATTTAGGGAGAATTAAACTGATCTAAACCCCTATGGCATGTACACAAGGGTGGGGGCCTGTTCCTTACTTGCCTCTTCAGCGGGGGTGGGGGTGGTGGGGGTGAGCTGCTGACATGCCAAATAGTCCCTGAGCTGCATGGGGGCCCTCCAGGCAGCACCCACCCACCTTGCACCCAGTCCAGGCAGTCCCAGGGGGCACCACAGCCATGGAGGGAAGCACTGCTCCCCCCACCCCCCCGCAGCCACAGAGGTAAACACCAGGCCCCCGCACAGCTCAGGCAGGCAGGCTCCGGGGAGAAAAAAAAGAAAAAGATCAGGCTCACCACTTTTTTTTTCTCTTCAGTGGAGGCTTCCTGAATGGGCTGCTGCCGGGTCTTGCAGCCCCCGAGCTGTGCGGGGCTCACCAAACCCCAGGCACATCGGCTTCCAGCACCCTGTGCACTGCTGTACTTTGTTAGGTAGCAAACTAAAACACCTCAGAGATGTTTTATCTTGCTACGTACCAAAGTCATTTAAAGCAGAATATGCTGCTGAACACACAAACAGCACCGCCATTAAAGTGGTGCAAAAGGGCATTTAAGCTGCTTTAAAGGCCAATTCTGTGGCATGTACAAAGGCCCAGATTCACTGAGAGATGTGTGGGCAGGGGAGAAAGTTTTTGCTAGAACTGACCCTAGAGGAAAAAAACAATCAAGAACTGACTTTGTGTTTGTATCAAAACTAATAGCGATAAGGAAGAAAAAAACTGTAGCTGTGGCATTTAGTGATAACCAGATGCTGAGGATGGAATTGAGTCTTGGTAAGAGCTCTGTAAGATGAAGAGGAATTTGGAAGTTAAATGTGCAACGGCTACAAGATGAAGGGATACATCAAGTGCACATGTGACAGTATGAGGGGTGGAGAACACTGAAGAAATACCAGAGAATGGTGGATGATGGTGAAGAAAAGGACAGGAAAATTCTTCAAGAAGGAAGGTTGAAGAACTGTGGGGAAAAGAATGAAAGAGCTGGGAGAACTACAAAGAAAGATGCAGGAGCTGCTAAAGGAAGCCACAGAAGGAAGTCAGGTATGAAAACCTAGAAGAAACAAGGCAAGAGATAGAAATCTGGTTTAAAAAAAAGAAGAGAGAGAAAATATTTTTAGCACAAACACCCTGGGCGGGAGAAAACAAAGAGTGGTCCTGATACTTTTCAGCTAGAGTTAAGACAGCAAAAGGAGAGCTAAAAGCAGTGCAGGAAAGTGGTATCTGGGTGGAAAAGTAGGAGGTGGTGTTGGAGGCAATGAAGAGATTTTATGAATAGCTATATCAGAAGAAGTTGCAGCAAGGGAGGTTTAAGTTGTATATTAGGAAAAGGTTTCTCACTAGGAGGGTGGTGAAGCACTGGAACAGGTTATCTAGAGAGGTGGTAGAATCTCCGTTTTTGGAGGTTTTTAAGGTCTGGCTTGACAAAG